CGGATTAAGGATCGTCAATGTACGGGGGAGGCAAAACCAATTTGCCGCCTCTGGATATAATAATATATTCCGTGGCTTATACATTTACGACGATTTTTTGTACACATAATATTAGTTTAAATTAATGGAAACCTCATAAAAAAAAAAAAACAAATAAATAAGGCCACCACACAGCAGTTTCTGGTAGAAATTCGTCCTCAGTTTCGTTAACCCTTGACGTAATACAGAGTTCTATATATTTTATCGTATAATCAAAACTATATAGTGGTAATAATCAACGCTTTAGGAAAATAGAGTCTGAGCAAATCTCGGTCACTGTGCCGCACTAACTCGATTATATATTCATTTTCGATTTACTCGTAGTTTTCTTTTACGTTTAACGACGACGTTTCCGAGAAATAATAATTAAATGGAAAAAAAAATGTCCTATTCAAAGTACCTTTTCCATTAGATTTTCAATCTCAATAGTATAGCAGGCTGCAGCTACGCATAATGGGACATTCAGAGTGGTTTTAGTCCACATTAAAACATTATCGTAAAACTCATATTACATTATATTATTTACGTCAATGTTATATAGTTCAAATATTTAACAAAAATCATCATTATTTTTCATGAATAAAAAAATTGTTTTCCTTACAAAGTCTGAAATTTAAAACAAATGCTTTGAAATAGTGTTTAGTTTACAAGAGAAAATATATTTGTTTACTTAACAATTTGCAAGCCCTATAAAAATATATAACTTAAAGAAAAATAAAAACATTTTTATTTGCATATTGACATCAAAAACGTAGGATATAGGTACAACTATAAAATACTTAATATTAAATAATTAGAAAAAATGTATTTACTCTAGACGAGAATATTATTAATTTTGGACATTTATTTTAGACTTTTACTTTTAATTTGTTTTATGATGATAATTTTTATTCTGACAGGTAAATCATACATTAATAATGTTTGCAATTTGTCAGTAGTATTTTTTTTTGCACTTAAATAAATTAAAGAAAAATTATAATAGCACGTCTTCTCTGTAGCAACTATACAGCCAATTTCCAATTTATAAGTCAAAGTGATTTTTTTTTTTATTATTGTACATAATACAATGACATTTATTATTGCTCATTAAAATTTAAAATTCTAAAAATATTCATTATTATAAGTTATGTATCTAAAGTTTAATATATTTAATAGAAATTTTTTTTCCAACATTATTTAATACAAATGTATACACGAACACTGGTGAATCGATTCTCCTTGAAAAGCTCACCTCTGTCGATAAAATTATTTTCGAATACAGCTTTCTCAGAAACCAGTTATTAATTTTAAAACTCAAATATCTATAATCAAGTACCATGCGATTCCATGGTAGTTATTTTCGACCTATGTGACCCATTTAAGTTTATTTAATGTGCCACTAGATATATGAAATTCGTTAAATTGCAAGTATCTTTGAGAAAATAAAATTATATATAATAATTAAATAATTGCATTAAAATAATGAGTTTTAGCCGTTAGGACAGTTTAAATTACTTAAATTGTGGCCAAAATGTTTCCTAATATGAAAAATATTGTTTAAAAATGTCGAAGGTTGTATTAAATGTTACACTTAATAATGTTGTAAATATGAATGGGTAGAATAATATACAATGTACATTCCTCATTAACTAAACTATTGAAATACTATCAACATTATAAAAGTAAAGGTATTTTTATTTCCGTTACGGTTCTTATATTAAATAAAGTTGTTTGACATTTCATTAGGAATTATAGAACCTTAAAATGTAATTATTATGAGCACAGGTATCTATTTTGTTTCATGAAAACATTGGGTACAAAAAGTATGTAATTAAAATAGTTCAATGACACAATAATTATGAATATAATAAATTGTATATAATTTCGTATAGAAGTAATTAATTCGAAATGTTTACGGCAGTGTTTGCACAAAACTTTCAAGCCCGTAATTGAACTTGCGCTTAGTCGTATTAAAAAAAAAAAAAAAAAAATGATCAATGCTGTTAATTAGTTAATATTTAATTCGTTCAGATGAAAGTGAAACGTCGGTAAACAAAAATAGCCCTATCCAATTTCGCGTTAATTAAAATTAATCACTAACGCATGATGCATGTATATAGTGTACCTACGATCTCCATGATTGTATCTATCCTGCACATCGAGGCAGCAGATAGGAGTACATCTAATGAAAATGCTGTCCTTTGAGAAACACCGTGAGGTAGATATATAAATATAGCTTTTTAAAACGCACACATTTTATTGATTCCCATTTCACAGACATTGTGCTGGTAGATTTTATTAAATTGTACAGTTTTGCAAATGTACATCATCATATTATACGACACGAGTAGTATTATATGCACGTATTTTAGTAATATATGTTTTAGAAATACGGAGAAATACGTTTCGGTTGGGAGATATTTCGACAAATAGATTTTCTGATGGTCATATAATTTTGTTGTGCTGTGTCTTGCGATAGTATACCTACTTTTTTCTATATAAATATAATATATAATATATAAATTTAAGATCTTCAGTTTTTTTTTCTAATGTTCTAGTGCAGTTTACACGGCAGACGTAAAAGAAATTGTTCTCTACAAAGACCTTCTGAAAAAAAAATATATTTATATGATATGTGGTGGTTCATGAATTATAAGACTAATAACTCCATTACCGTCAAAAAAATAAAATGTCGAGTATCAAAAGTCATTTATTAATTTTAAGGATGAACATTTTTTTGGAAATAGTAAATCAATGGTTTGGTATAAGAAATGTCGTTCACCTTACATTGTCGGCTCATATCAGATAAAAAAAAAAATAGTACAATTTACAAATTGAAAATAACAATAAAAACTCAATTTAGGAAAATAATACTAATTCGATGATGATATTGGTATACTTAGCTAATCTTGCACCAGTTAAATTTGAAAAACGAATTGGTAAATGAACGGTTGCTGGCAGTTGCCAGACTATATCGTTGTAATAAAACAAGAATCGTTGGCAATTACATTCAAAAAAATTGATTAAAATTTAAAATTTTTTTCGTTTCATAGAACTATTGAGCCACTAACGGTATGCTATTTTCATTGACACACATCCTAATCGTGCATAATATAAAATTAACAATCGACATTTTATATAATATCTGACCTAATATAAAAGATAATTCAAAACCAATAAGTAAGTAGGTAGGTAATAAAAAATTCGGCTTTGGGATATTAACAGTTGGCCGTAACGTTGTGTTTTGTAATTTTATTTCGAAACGAAAATGAGGTTTATAGCTACTATGATACGTTTTTATAATAATTAAATAATTCACACCACCCTCTCTTCTCTATTGTGTGCTGGTACTATCCAAAAATACATTAAACCTCGTTATATGAATTGTACCGTGCAGAAATGGCTAATTAATTCTAAAAAAACTACATGTTATTTATTATTATTGTATTTAATATCTTAATTTGTTAACTCGGGGGTTATACATATTATACGATATTACGGTTATAATATGTTATATATATATATATACATTATGTTGTTAAATTAACGTAATATAGATTATAAATTCACTGTAGTAATGTGCAACAATAAGATATAATATAGTCTTAAGTATAAATATAAATTATACACCTATTTTTAATCCACTATAACGTATTTATTAAGATAAAATGGGTAAACTTTTAGAATAATAACGATCTGTTGAATATAAAATTATAAAATGTAATAAATGATCTAAAACAAAATTAATAACCTAACTTCCAGCAATCTAACATATTATTATTACACACTATATTATAGTACCTACATAATATAATATGAAATATTACGTATACTCACGATAACACGCATACTTATTTGTCAAGATATGGCACACTTTTCACATTTTTCTCTAATCATTGATACACAGCATAATATTAAAAATCAAAATGAGATAAATATAGAAACACGTAGTCCTTTTCTTCTATAATTTATTGCGAATGTATCAAAACATAATTAAATTTCTCATTCCGATTCCATAGCGATTCTTCAAGTTCCTCAGGACTTATAAAAATAATAACAACAACCTTAATTTGATATTTTTATATATTAATAATGTTTTTTTTTTATCATGTCAGAATTTCCATTGAACTTATATTTTCGAATTTTGGTATTTAACCGAGTTAACCTTTTATTTCTTAGTTTCCGCCACTTTGTTATATCGTGGAGTGTATATTATATTATATGTGTATAGCTAATGTATGGCGACCACGAGTGAGAGGGAAAAATGCCACCCACCAAAAGAAACTACCTGTAATTATTACTAGGTGAATTGTTTTTCGTCCAAGAGAATTGGGTCAAATTATACGGTGCACGCACGCAGGAGTTATTTTTTATCATCACACAACAATATTTTTGTACCCAAACACACACACGCGCGCATGACCACTTTATGCATATAAATTATCGAAGTTATAGAGGAGCTCTCGACACTTCGGTTTGCGTTTGCATTTTTAACCTTGAACGCAATTATTTTCCCACTTGTGCAAGTAGACGCAAGCCGGTCGGTTTTCACAATAATGCATTCTCTCGCGAGAGAGGAACTTCGATCGTTTGGATAATAGACTGCTGCAGTGTACGCGAAACAACGACCGCTCCGAGACGAAGAGGATGACGAGGAATTTTCACCGGACCGGTATTCATACAATATTATAATATCGTGTAAATCAGATTTACGAAAACTGTTTGGTACAATAGTATAATGTATAATACGATATAATATTATAATAATACTATAACGCACACGCATATTATTATATCGCATGGTGTATATCCATCTACAAACTTGACACGATTGTGTGTGTGTGTGTGTGTGTATGATGCGTTTATCGTAAAAAAAAATAACGATAACAACGGTAATAATAATAATAATAAAAAACATAAAAGCCGGTGGTTCGAGGACGGTGAGCTTTTGGTGGTGGACGACGTGGTGGATGGCAGAGGGGATGACGGAGAAAAAAAGTTTTGTCGGCATTCGTTTTGGGGTGCGCGCGCTCGCGGCGCCGGTAGCGCGGCTTCGCGGCGTTTTCGGCGAAATCGACAGAGGCCCTCTCGCGTACAGTCGGAGACCGTTTAGTACGTTCAATCGGCTCGCCCGGCCGAGTCCTGCGCCGCCGCCGCCGCGTCCAAGTCCAACTTCCATCGCCCATGCCGCCGCCACCCGCACGCCGAGAAAACGCGATACGCCACCACCGACGCTCGTCCTCCGTTCACCCCCGTCAACTACCCCTTCACCGCCACGCGACGACGACTCACCCTCTGCCTGGGTCCGTACCTCGTGTCCTCGCCGCAGCCGGGTCCGCCGCCACACGGCCGCCGGGAGCACCGACGCCACCACCGCTGCGCCACCACACGGCAATGATCGCGCCGCCCGGAACTATGCGCCAGGTAAAGACGGTGTTCGATCACGGTCGCTAAACAGTTTAATAAAATATATTATTATCGTTATCGCAATCATAATATTATTGTATTGGCTCCGTTACCTACGTTATATGACTACTGCGTGGATGACGTAGAATTGTCACGTCCTCCTCCTGTAGATCGATCGTGTTGTTGTATATGCAGTCGTTTACGAAGATAATCCGAAGTATGGATATAGGTAGCCTCACTATTTAGGATGTCGTCGACGGTAAACGTATTCGGTGTCCTATCTGTGAAAACCGTTATTTATCATTACGTTATCTGCACCACGCGAGACTATAACACCGCAGATAAATATTATCGTTATAAGTCGTAGACTTAGTCTTACGTCTGTCTTACGAAAGAGTCACGATCGTATATTCATGTTCTGATATAATGGTTTAAGATATACAATATAGATAGCTGACGAAATAAACGACATGATATCAGAAGCGACAAGGTGATATAGACAATATTATTATAAGAATAAAATGATATCGTTATCGGTACGCCGACGGCACCCAAAACACATTTTACAACGCCGTTCAGTATTAACAGAGCGTCTGTGTACCGAAATTGCCTATTTGGAGCGCCGCGTCACTGGGGCTAATTATTATTTTTATTTTTTTTTTTTAGTCATATAGTATCGTTTCGTTTATCAAAAATGCGCACGCTACAAGCAATATCACCATGATAATATTATTATTTAACCACTTTTATTTATATTACTCCCCCCCCTGTGGTCGTGTTCACGCGACACTCGTGTCTAACTACGGAAGAGATGATACTATTAAACACCTTGACGATTGTCTAAATTATTGTTTCTTTCCTTTTTAATTATTACATAAATTGTATAGGTTTAAACTATACATGCAATCGCATTATAATTATCTCCTACAGTTTATATACGTTTAAATAAATTATACTTTTGAAAAATTACGAAAGGAGAAACGCAAAAGTATACCTATTTGACGACGAAATTACGTCGAATTTATCGTAATTTTCGACTTGAATTTTCAATTATTATTTTTTATTTCGAGCTTACGCATTTGATAAAAGAGCTGGTTGCTATTGTTATATCGGGTCGTTAACGGTTGAAAAATGCAAAAGAATAATCAGAAAAAATCGGGTCAATAATACTCCATAACAATTTTTGCAAATCGTGTTATTTTTTTTTATTCGCTGTAATTATGAGTACTTTACGCACGACGTATTTTTAATAAATAGGAATATTCGAACTCGCCTACATAATATATATTATGTATAATATGCGTTTGTTGTTATAACATTGGGCCACTGACTTTTCAATGTTTTTGTTTGTATACACAAAAAAAGTGTGTATATCATGAACGATAATAATTATCAGGAAGAGGCTAAGGGTTTATAGTATAAGTTAAACATGTATACAAAACATCATATACTTTCATATAAAAACAAAGGTTGCTTGAAATTCATTTTATTAGAGAACCCTAACAAATCATAATATTTGAACGTTTTAATGGATGGAAATAATGGCTAGGATATTTAAATTCATACGGTAAACAAATTCAAAATATATATTTGTGTCAGGTGGATCCAGTGCGATTATTGGTACGAAAATTAACTGTACAATTTATTGACTTCGAAATGTGTTCGTACAGAAATTTGGAGCGGTAAAAAAAAATAAAATACATATCGTTCTAATAACGATACATAAATATTACTAACAAAATATTTACTAGAATTTATGGTAACAATCGTTGACGGAAGGTTATAATATGTATTTTAAAAATACTCTCAGCTGCTATTGTAAATTGTATTCCAACCACAAATATTTCATGTTAAAATTAATTTTATGTTGTTACACTTTGGGGTTTGAACAAGTGTAATTTATTTATAAATACCACAGTACCTAGATACAAACGTTACATGAATTCAAATGTATACACGTTATAAGAATACAAGTATTTAATAAATTATTGTTGAATTTGAAACGGTATAATAAACTGTTCCACTTGAGATACACATCAAAGACTTATTAAGCTGGTAAATTCATAACATAAATTACAATGAATTTCAAAAAATTATTATACCATGAATCAGTATAGACACGATAATAATCATTTTTGTAATGCGTTTAATTACACCATGCGTAAGATAATTCACTTTGTATTCTAGAATAAACACACGGATATAATACAATATATATATATATTTAATGTAACGCAATAACATTATTAAGGAAATTATATTATTTTTATCAGATATGTATTAGACTTAACCAGCTAAAGGAAAACTATTTTTTTTACCTTGTTATAATGCTAATATACAAAAAAAAACACTCAAAGAAAATGTCAAAATAAATAATTGATTTACCATAATAGAAAACGCCATATAAAGAGATTTTTTTTTTTGAAACATAATAAGAATAATAATGTAATAAGTTAAAAAGGAAGGAAAGTAGGTAACCACTCTGGTACAGTTGTAGTGTAATGTATGTGTTGAATTTAAATTCAATAATAAATCATTGTGTACTAAAAACGATTCTGTGCGAATAAACCGTCTGTCAGCCCATATTACTAAGTATATTTTATGAGAATATGTTTTTTGATTTTGCTGTTAAAGTTATTTAGGTATTTTACCATTATAAAAATATACGAGGTAGTATTAAGCCATTATAGAACGATGATGATGTGATTTTTTTTTTAAAATTCCGTAAACACTGAATTTATTACTGTAATTAAATACAGTTGTTTTGTTTTGTAAAATTAAAAAAAAAAACGCTTGCCAAGTCAGGGATCGGCATGTAAACTTTCTTGATTTTTAATTTTTAGAAATTTATTTACTGATATCACAATTTGGTATAATAATTTGATTCTTGATGTTTTTCAGCTTTACAGCTGTGTAGTGAATTAATGATTGGAGATAAAGTTCTAAAAATCTTCACTGCACTTATTCTAGCCAATGTGAATCTAACAAGACCCCAATCAACAAAATCCGTTCTCCAGTTTCGGAAATCTACCTCGCTGAATAAAAATCTAGAGAAAAATAATTCTTTTTTTATCTGTGAAAAATTAAATAATTTTAAAAAAAAAATATTAATTCCACATTTAGTTTCTACTTGATAATTCTTTTTTAATGAGTTTTCAACCAACTTTCTAGCTATCATAGTTTAGGAGAAAAGTTAAAAAATAGAAATGTTGGGACTGTTCACGCCGACGTTTTTATGGATTCAAGTAGTTATACCGCTTGGGTGTGATATCAAATCTCTCTCATTAATATTTTATATTAAGCTAGCTAAATTACTCACTTACTCATCATTACTGAGTTACATTTTTATTATTTTCCTATTTAACCCAAATTCTTGAAGTTTTCAAAATGCAGACTTTTTTAATTTCAATTACCATACTTACTTGATTAAAAATCAAGAAAGTAAAATCGTTCCCATGTATCTTTATTATTTTTAAATAGCTTTAATTATTATCTATTACATTTTCAAGCCTTTAATGCGTAGAAATGGTAGGTAATACAAACATTTGATTATAATTTCATGTATTTATGGCTATTGTTTTTGAATCACAGTAAAATAAGAAAATCGATTTTGTTAAAAACTAAATTGGCATAAAAATTCCCTATAATTTCCCTTTCTACTATAAATTGTGTACTTAAACATAAACAAAAAAAAAAATACATCATTGTAAAATAAATAGGTCCATTCATCGCTCCACTCATAATCTAAAAGATGTAGGTATTTAAAGAAATTATTCAACTAACCTAAATAGTAAATACATATTTGAAAATTACACACATGCCTCTACCTATATTATATATTTTCAACATATAATAAAACGCATAATAATGCAGAGTGTTGAACTTCATATTCGTTATGGTTGAATTGAGGTTGTTCTAGTGCTGTTCTATAATAATAAACTATTATTACAATGAATTGTTTGTTTTTTGAGTTTCTCCAAACAATATTACATTTTTCTTATACACAAACTAACATAAACAATATGTAACAATAACAGTATAACACAATACATAATAATATTATGTCATATTGATGTTATGCTTATTTTCAATGCTTGTTTTATACTTGATACAATTTATGATAGTAATATTCTCAATGGCGTATTTTTTGTTTTATTTTTGGGGGGTTAGTCTCCCCAATCCCAAATTGTTTATGCATTTATATAATAAGTAGTAGAAATTCCGTATATATTTACAGACAAACCGATTGATACTATAATAACTAATACAAAAGAGTTACATCGTAAAACGCAATTTATTTTTTAATAATATAAACACTGACCCCACATGGTTTCCAAAAAAAAATAAAACGTTATTCTGCTACGCCTTTGATAAACTTTATAGGTGTTGTTCCCAAAATTCAATTTTCTATTTTAGGCGAGGGGGTGGAGAAGAGAGTCTTAATGGAATATATGGTTTAATGTATGTTCCAACGATTTATAATAAAATTTAAAAGTATAGATACTATAAACCTATATAATATAAGGATTACCTATAAGAGTAACTTATTTATGAAAGCAGAATGTACACTTGAATGTTGAACCTAACCTAATATGAACTCCAACAAAATCATTACATTAGTATTATGAGCATCAGTGGTATTGTATACATATTATAGTCAACAATGAGATTATTACATAGTTGGCTTATTGAGTTACTTAACTAATCAATTATTACCAAATCAATTGTATGAATAAAAATTAGAAAGTAATGCGCAGCAGTTATGTGTCTGCCGTCTGGTCGTTTGTGTACGGGAAATTTCCGCCCCCGCTGAATTGAATAATGTCTATTTAACTGTAATATTGACATTCCATATGAATGAATTCCATACAAACCTTTTAGTTTTAGTTATAATACTTAAATTTAAATGCAATTGTATAACTGGTTATCACATATCAATCAGTGTTATAATTTTCAAAAATCATATAAACAACCGTATGTTAATTAGACATTCATAATCTACGTGTTTGTGTGCTAAAGTTTCTAAACTGATTTTAGTATTTGTTATCGAGTGCCTCTGTGTTTTTTTTTAACACGACTTATGAGCTATAATTACTAACTGTTTAAGATTCTCTTTTCCTATTCGTTTTAACTTTTACCACATTTTACGTACCTATTGCATAAGTGTCGCAGAAGGGTCGAATATAATTAGTATCTTTAATCTACTATGGTTCTAAAATATATAAGTATAAAACACATTTATGAATAACATAAACATAATATGTTACATACTTAAATGCAATTATAAGTAATTCTTTCATAAAAATAAAAATAAAAAAACAATTGTTTGTCTCTAGAAAGAAAAACACATTATTTATAAAAAAAAATAAAATTACAAAAATGTTCTGTGGAAAATTAAAAAAATAATATTATATTATTATCAAATGTTCAATTTGCATATGTTTAATAAGATTCAGTTTCTTTGGTCATATATTTTAATTAATATGATAGAGATACGTATAATCCATTATTACAATCCTATAATTTATAGAACTTTACCATTTTATTTAATTATAATTCAGGTACATTCAAGTAATTCTTATATCAATGAGCAATACAATTGTGCATTGAATGATGCTTATTATCTATTTAAAACTGTATTAATATTTTAAAACTTATACCTATACCGGCTGTATCACTATACGAAACAAAATCTGAAATTTTGTTAGTTTCTAGTATTATATAAATGCATTATACTTCACAGATACTTAGTATTTTTATAGAATGCATATTATATTTTTCCTTAGTAAATTAAAAATGTATAGTCATTTTTTTTATTCCAATAACTTTAATATTTTTTTTATCTTTTGAAATCATTAATTAATTTAAACAGTTGCACAAATTTGAAATTATTTAATCCGTGACTACGTCTCAGCAAACAATACAATATTACAAGTTAAATAAGTACCTAAAATAGGTAAACAAAATTATGATTATTCGCAAATAGTTCAAATGAACATTATAACATGTGCAACTAAATATTATATTTCATTAAGTTATTAATTTCTTAATATAAATAATACGCTTAAAATAAAACTGAAACTAAATTAAAATATTTTGTTTATAAATTTTTATTTATTTATATTAAAACTAAAATGTAAAATGCCATTATTAATCCAATAAGTATAATAAAACTGAATTAAATGACCATTAAAGATTATCTATTATCATCTATTCGACTATATAATATGTACTGATAATTATTGTTTATAATTTTTATAAATTATGATTTGTTTCACTGAATAATATAATAAAATAACGTATAAGTTAAACAAAAATTAACTGTTTGACGTAAGGAATTAAACAATAAATGTAATTTAAAGTAAACATTTATATCATTGAGTTAAACCTCTAATAGTTCTGATTTTTTATTGAATGCATAATTTATACAACAGCCAAATTGGTTATTATTATTTTATGCTAAAATTATGCATCGAAATGAATATAATTAAATTACAGAGCAATGACAAGAACGTCACAAAAATACAAAACGAGATTCTATTGTAATCTAGATACCTACCTATAAATATCCGAATAATTTTAATTAATAGTATGTACTACTATAGATTTTAAAACATTGCCGTCAGTATTGTTTGGAACATTTTTTTTTTTTGTAAATCAATTATCAAAATGCCTTCTATTACAATCATTGCATTGCCGTCGTTATTTTTTCGATTTCGACTGACTATTCACAGGCAATTTTTTTACCCATTTGTACCCAACTCTGTGCATTTCCATCAATGTAGTTTTCACAAGTCTTTATCAGTGATATTTAATTTCGCCGTACTCGAATATCCGCAGCTAGTTGCTCGTTCATTTGCAACTACAGTAAACGATGTTGCAACTGCAGTAAAATATTTAATAAAACGTTAAAGTCGGACAGGGGCGGTTACCCATTGGTGTTTTATACCGTCTATTTGATCCGTTGGATCGTTTTAAAATGGAATTATCACTTTAATATCATAACGGCATAACCACAGACGTTGTCGGTGTTGCAGATGCGCAAATCGTAATGCGAAGATGGTGTGTTCCGAATGTCCAATGGTCCCAGTTGGTGTTGTGCGCGACCGTGCTGTTCCTGCTGGGCGGCCTGCACATCTACAGAGGCCCCAACGGCGGACCGCTGCAGGCTTTGGACGAAGTGGCCGACGACGAGGACACATCCGGTTCCGCCCGGACGACTCAAGACGACCGGACGTACCGGAGGCTCAGGTTCCCGAAGACCAGCAGGCGATTGCCTCAGGTGGGTGCGAGAAAAATAAAATACCGACCAAATATAATATTATATAATATACAACACTGCAGTGTACGGGCTGTCAAGTCCGCGGGGGTGACCGTGTTTAGGCGACCACGATCCTCGGGCCGGTTTAAAATCATCATTATTTTTCGAATCGGCCATAAACTCTAGTCGGAGTTTTTCGACTGCAGCGAAGATGCGTTAATATGCATACACGACTGTATTTTTATGGAATTTATTGACATGACATTATTTTGTAATAAAACCTCGACACGGGGACGCATTGACGGACCGGTTATGTTACGTAATATTCTTCACGATCTGCTTGATTTTTTTTGTTTGATATCAAATTATATATTCGATTTAATCACTTAAGGAAGTCGATGGTAATTTATTTGTTAAATGAACATTTCAATAGATCGTATAGTTGTACGCAGTATCATAAAGTATATTATGAAAAAGTTATCTTCAATTCTCATCGAAATATAATTAATATATTAAATTTAAATGCATGTGTTTATATGTTTAAAGATACTTTTAAATAAATATGAAATGGCATAGATATACTTAAAGTGTTATAATTATAATGCAATAGTGGTTTCTACTTAGTTATTTTAAAAACTAAACCATTGTCTATTAATATAATATTTTAATATTTGGGTTTAAAAATACTACTATTCTTATATCGATAAATTTAATCAATAATTCATTTTGAATTACTCTAATTTACTTTTCAACTAGGTATTTATTTTTTAATTCTTAGATAAACTACGGTTATTAGCTTAACTTATTTACCAAATGTGTAATTACGGTAATTTTTTTTTATAAACTGTGATATTGTATATATTTAGTGTCTATTACAATTTACGAGCAAACTCAGAATTTAATTTAGAGATGTTTGATTTAATTATCCAATGGCATAAACATATATTACTATATTATTAGAATTTAATTTTGGACAAGCGTCGTTCTCCGAGTCTAAGGGCCGAGACTAAGGGGGTATTGGCAATATGAGCCTAGTTTAAATATTATAAATAATATCAATTTTAACTCGTTAATAATTCCTATACACATCACAATATAATATACAATGTAACGCATTAGAACATACGTGACATTATGTAATTCAGTTTATTTCTGTAATATTAAATAGTATCTTTTTTTTATTCAAGAAATATACATTCTTTATTTAACGTTACAATTATACTATTATTTAAGATAATTATAATATGTTTAAATAATAAAAAAAAAGACAGTTAAATATTAATACTCGAGCAATTTTTTTGTCGTATCAATAACTCCGTCTTTAGATATAATATTATGATAATACATAGGTATAATATCATTAGAAAGATCATTAGTGTAGATTACACAATAAATATAATTGTACACATAATATAATGAAGTTAAGGCAAGTTAAATACAAAATAACATTATACTCTATCTGTCTCATAAAAAAATAAATTTTTACAGGGTTGAGTTGGATTATACGAAATGTAAAAAGCAGTAACCAATTTATATTATAATAAAAGAAAATGTAGGTATAAAAAAAAATGTCTATTTCTGTTTGTAGTTTATATGGACTCAAATACTGAAATACAAAATGCCTGTATTCTCCATAATATACCTAAAACGTTTATACAAAAAAAAAGGATAAAAATCTAAAACGCCGATACCGAATTGTATGTGCGTTGAGAAATGCAATATTTTAGAGTTTGTTGATTTTACAATTAAAACGGTTTTCGTGGTTGAATACTCGTACTCGACAAGTCCAAGTTACTAGTAAAATGCATACACACGTCGAGTAGAGGAGTCTTCCAAATAAAACTCACCGATTGATTTTTGTTTTAAATACTTTATGGTTTAAATAAATATTACAACAGCTATAATACACCGCCATGTGTCTTGTCAAACGGTGTAAAATAATTTTTAGTTAAACAAAGTTTTCATTTAATCTGAGTTTTTTGGACAGTTTCACTCTTAGGGTTGTTGAAACAATCATATGTTTCAAATGAACTGTTTTCGATAATATTCGTTTTACTGTTCTCTAATGCAAATAATAGAAATTAGATTTTAGATTCCAAGCGGAACTATGCATGTTCTGGTTGGACGATGTTTGTTATTTATTGTGCCTTCAGTAGTGGCTTCTAGTTATCAAATTAGATTTAGTTTTTACATTGTGGTTACTGGTTACTTATTTTTCATAATCATCGGTACGACTAAAAAAACGAAACATTTTTAAAATTTATTTTGGCATTTTGTTGCAATTCAAAAACAAATGACGATAGAACAGTATTACTAGGTATAGAAAATTACATCAAATATTTGTATTAGAATCTTCTACAGAAATAGTTTAGTTTTCAAAATAGTTTTACTCTTCCTAAGCTATCTATGAACATAAATATTCTACTATTTTAGTTTTTTCTTTTAGATTCTGAGGACTCCGATGATTGTATATTGGTTTTACAATGATATTTTTATTTTTTTATGTCTGAAGACATTTTTTACAGTACAAAAAATTATTCGATTTCAAATTAAATATCTTTTCTGGTAGGAAAGTGAATCTAGTTGATACTTTGGAGGGTAAAAAGTAGAAAAATGTCCAGTACTCTTCTTAATAATTATGAAAAACGAGAATTTGTATGTTGTTTTCTTATATTGTAGTAATTTAAAAACGAATAACCATAGACATTTTAAATATTAATAAAATATTAATATTAGAATTGTCATGGTATAATTTTAAAAATATTTTGACTCTTTTTGAAATATTTATGAAAAATTTCAAAAATGTAATACAAGGTTCCTCGGTAGTTTCAGTAGTTTTTTTATAGTTATTTAAAAATATTAAAGATACATTGACACAATTTTTTTATTAGCATTGTAAGTTCAAACTTTGAAAAAGTTTGTCTAAATCACAATAATTTGCAAATATAACTTTGTAGTTTAAAACTTATAAAATATTAATTTGTTATTACTTATGATTAAAACTTGACAATTGAATACAATGTTCTTTATAAGTAGTTCATACTGAGAACAAAAAATCTGAAAACTATATAATCATATTTTTTTGATTATAGACATTCGAAGTTTAAAGTTGGACAAAATTAGATAATTAAACAAAAAATAACATTTTAGTTATTTTATAGTTATTCAAAAATATAATTCATATTTTGAACTTAAAATTTTTACTTATATCATTATATTTTATTCACGATAAATTACGATTATTTACGATGTCTCATTAACAAAACATTAGGTAAAATTTATAGTTTTTTTTTTTTTTGTATTTGGCTATATATTAAACAACGAAATTATTTACGCTGTTCTTCGGTATTGACTCAAAATAGTTAATAACATTAAAATATGATATAATTATTATATACTATTATAATAATTAAATATTAACAATATTTATTCAACTTTACGATACATTGTTGTAATAATACATAATATACATATTATGTTATTTGTTTTGTCCAATATAAGTTCAATCACCTTCACCTTCAAACCTTATTACTAATAGGAATATAAAATCTAATAATATATCCTTAGGCATAATATAGTTGTTCATATTATACAATGATTTATCATTGAATTCGAATTGAATGCATACATTACAATGACCTACTCTATGAGGGCTGAGGAGTTATTATACTCGAAACCTACAACCGTAGAGCAGAAGGACTTTACCGGATTTTTTTTCCAGATGTATGATTTATTTATAAATAGGTACGCGGTAAATTTCGATCTCTATGGTCACACAAATTTGAAATTTCTATTTGAAAACTGATAGACAATAAAATATGCGTTTATATAATATAAACGACTGTCAGTGTTGGTGTTTGTGGGTTTATATTTATGAAGCATAGGTAGTATGTATAACGAATACAATAATATGATAATATTGTAAAACTCATTCCGTATATGAATCGGAAATTCGAGGAAAACGAACTTTTTATCGGTCACACCAACAAACTGCATTATGTTCCAGATGTGTACGTGTGGAGAATATAATAATAATAATAATATGTTTATGTATTGAATAAGGTTGAATCTCATCAGACACGAAAACTGAATGAATTATCGCGCTGAAAACTATTATGTAAATTTATATTATAAATATATCATATTGTACCTGCCGTTGTTTATATTTAAGAGTAAAACGGGTTTGAATTTTCAAGTATATGTAACCCGGGTAACCGGGAGAAAATGTAACCAGGTTTCGAACCCAAATCCCACAAAACCTATAAACTCGGTTGACAACTACATATTATAATGCAGTTTAACGTATAGTTTTCCTATGTCGTACATACAACAATGTATCCGATTGCATTTATGTACAGGTATTTTGTATTTAATTTATAAATCAATCCTTCATTATCCATCGGAATCGTTTTTAGATTTCTAATGCGTTCCTGTGCAACCATGAATAGTCGTGGTTTATATTATTTACTCTACACTGCATGGTTTTTTTCTTTTTTAAAAAAAAGTAGACATTTAAAATATAGTCTTAGAAAAATTCAAATAATTGATATAATAGTGGTTGTAGGATACATTTTCATTGACTGTTCGATATTTAGTTGTAGAATCCAATACTTTGATGCCCTAAATCCTAATACAGAGGGAAACAATTAATTCGTCTAAATACAAATATATCAATCTGAGTAGATAATATTGTAATAATATCCTCATCCTATTGAATACAAAACAATATATAACATAAATCATAGCTTCTGTGTATTTATTATTCATTCGTTAAAATGTATGAGACATTTCTTTCACTTTGAAGCATATTATTGCGGAATTCGGACATTTCAGCGTGGTATATTTTGGTTTTAAGGCTTGCCCATGGAATATTTATTTATTTATTTATGTCCAGAGCACAACGAATATTTGTTTACATAATATTATATTTACAATATGGTACAATATTTTTGCAAATGTCAATATTTCATTGAAGTCTGACGCATTTTTTTATACACTTCTCTCAATTCTTGTGTGTTTCTTGTACATTTGGAATATTATTAAATTATTATAATATTATGTTTGGCCAAGGACAGAATTCGTTTGTTTTTCTTTTATCAATAAGAGAAAATAAAATGTTTGCTTGATAATTAGTAAAGATTAATTGTGAGGTAAGGTAAATATTAGCCAGTCCAATTTGTCTTTTATGGTAGGTATATAATTATGTATGTATATCATAATAGTATCCACCGCACTAATTTATATTTCTCTGTTTGATACAAAAAAAAAACTTCGTGAACATTAATAAACGTAACGTCATTGTTTGCCAATGCTCTAAATAAAAATTAATACCGATAAACTTTGTTATTATATAGTCTTATAATTTTATCCAACTTTAAAACACTTTTTTTTTAATATGATAATATTACAAACCAATTAAAAATATAAGTGTCACGATTCGTTATTGAATTTATACCACAATAAAACATTATACTTTCATTTGTCTCAATGTAACTAAAAATAGCACGTTAAAAAATATCCAACATCGTCAAACAATTAATGCGTGGATACCCTGAAATACGATGAAAGCAGAAAAAAACTTTATATAAGTCAGCATTCGACTACAAGTTTAAAATTGTATCAATTTTGAAAAATCTTTAATATCAAAACTATAGAAACAATTTTTTAACGTTCGAATTAACGTCTCTCTTTCACAAATCAAAATGTACATTTCTACGAAATGTGTTGCAAGTACCGCCGATGTTGTGTTGTTTCTCTGATCATAGTGAAAGCAGCCAATTCTCAGAAGTCTCACCCTGTCAAAAGATCAAACTTCCTCTCCTCCGGCAAGGTTTTGATCATCGTGTACTATATGCGAGTCATTATAATAATTTATGCTATTATGTTAACCGTTACGACACACCATTCGTACTATATGATATACCATTATATCGTATTATATGATATATATTTACTTACATATTCAGAATTTCCCGTGCAAGGTATCCTATGATCTAGTTTACCACGCTTGCTTCAGAATTTATTCGTTTAGGTGCTTTTGCTCATACCTCATGATTTTGTGAAGCTAATCATATACGTTACCATAACCATATTAAATAATTATTGAGATAAATAGTGCACCCACTGATTCTATAAATGTTACATTTAGAATGTAATACAACATATAGGTAGTATAGGTATGTGGGTTTAAAAAATATCGATTACGTGTGATTAAAACCTTTAAAGTATCATCATTTTCACCAATTGGTAAAGAAATATTTCCACAATCATCCCACCACAACCCTAGTTTCATAATCTCTATTCGCAATCTCTCTAAGAAATGCATAACATCATCTCCCGTCTCTGATTAGGCCATACCTACCTTACTTCTGACCTCTCGTTCCTTTAAACTTTAATTGAATGACTACCTCCTATTCACACTCCACAATAACTACATTATTTGTGAAATTACAAATTTATCTTCAACCGCTCCAAATTATCACTAAAATTGGCCACAAAATGTTCTTTCTTAAATTTTCCAATATCCAAAAAAATATCCCATCACTCAAAAAAATATTATATAACACATATTAGCATTATTTAACTTACATGCTATTTAATTTAATTTAGTTTTTATATATAATTTAAACTTTCAAAATTATTTTTTATCTTGTAAGCTAATTTTAATTTGCTAAACTAGTTTTCTAACAATATTCAAGTACAAAAAAAAAGTATTTTAATGACAATTATTTTTTCCTATAATTCATATCGTTGTGTTTAATGAATTTTGGTATACATACACATTATACATAAAACGATGTATATTACTATACTGTTTTAGTGTTTCGTACCCACTTCTCTTATAATATTTACTTTTTGTTTTGAAAGTATGTTTAGAAGACATGCGATGATTATCGAAAAAATTAATGTTAAACTACTTTTTAAATTTTTATTTTTTTATCTGTGAAGTTTTTTTTTATAAATTTAGTGCAGGTATATGTATTATGGCAACTTATTTTATACAAATAAAAACAAATGTTGCAAACTTTACCTTCTATTTTTTGTATTATGTATAATAATAATATGAGGAAATCGTTGTTTATTATTATTTTCTTAAAAACCCCATCGGGTGTCATTTGCTGTGTTTAATTGTACTAAAATTTTCTTATATGCCGTTAGTACCTACAAAATAATGCACATTTCAAAATTATCAAGTTGATACTTTATATATTTCTTAGCGATATTTTTTTCAAAATAATGCTCCTTATTTTTGTTTTACACCCCTAGTCGTAGTTTAAACAATATCGCATCATGAACAGCACTGTTTTTATTTTATTTACTTTTTATTTTTATTTTTTTATAGTTAATAGTTAACATAGTTTTATAATAAAAAAGATAAATAAAAATACAGCATTGGAAATGAGAATAAATATTCAAATCTATAGGCACTATATACATTTATACTATCTGAAGTTAATTTAGTTTGAATGTTAATATTGTCCCAATAAAATATTATCACAATATTATAATATTATGTACTTGGCTTTTCCATATTTATGATTTTTTCGTATTTGTCTGGTACCACAATACACAGCTGACATGTAATTGCCGCAGTTACTCAAATGTATTTAGCGTGTTTTAATCGTCTTTATAAAATATCCATACTATTATTATATAGGTAAATTATGTAGGTGGTATATATATTCAGCGTTTAGTATAATAGTATAGTATGGCATGGTTTATTTCTAACATGTGGACTACATTTTCTGGTGACTTTACGAAAGTTCTCTATAATGGCACAAGTACATAATATATATATATATAAGAAACAAGGCGTCTACAAATAATTAATAGTTAACGACTTGAAGTATATAATTAATGGGTTTTTTTATATTTTTTGAACAATATAATGAACTATTATTATAATAAATTATGTCTATAACCATAGTAATAACTAATAATAGTATACAAGGTATATTAAAACCACGACGCTATAACGTATTTAGTAATGCACTTGAAAATGTCAAGTTTAAAAAAAGGATGAATGTAATGCGAAAAAACAAACAACATATTATTATTGATGGACGATTCATATGAGCATTGAATGTATGTATTTATGTATGAATTGTAATTGTACTTTAATTGATGTTTGGTTTATTTTAATCTGAAAATAATTATGATATAAATAACAATTTTATAATTTTTAATAATATTTAAAAGTGATATAACAAAAGAATATTGCATTACTAAATAAATACTCATAATAAATAATAAGCAATCCGACTACATCGTATACTATTATAATAGTTTTAAATTAATATACAAACATGTTTTCGTTTTCAGTTAAAAAAAAATTTAATTTAATTTTAACAAATTCCCCTAATCCCACCAGATATTTTCAGCGAATTTTAATGTCACTACTATATCAATTTGAAATAAAATATGTATTTTTCATTATTCTGGTATATTGTTTTGTGCAGATGATTTTTTTGTTCATTAACAATACATAATTAATATGCACAACGTTAATGTAAGCTGTTAAATAAAATAGGAAACGTTGAAATATAGAAAATAATCGGTTTATTTTACATTCCATACCGACTATCGGGTTAATTATTATTTATTATATTAAAATTATTATAATATTATATCAAGTATTAAAACAACTCTTAGACAGTGTCAACAAAATGTAATTAGGAAAATAACGTTTATGCAACAGAAGCTATGAACAATATCAATAATATACATAGTACACAAGCCCGGATTAAGGGGGGGGGGGTGGTCCAGGGGGGCATAGATCCCGGGCTCCTTTACTTTGAATTTATTTAAAGGCCTCAGATTTGTCCTTTACTTTTTTCGTTATAGACTATAACACTGCATGAATCACCAAAAAAAAAATCAATGATTATTTGGCGAGGGAAAAAGCTAGTAAATTATAATTTAGAAATAATGTGATACATTATTCATTATTTATTGCTAACCTAATATCTTTATATATATTTATTATGACGGGTACCTAATATTAAATAATAATATATACATTATTTTTTTTTCGTACAGGGGCCTCATTTAAGACTTTGGCCCCTGGGCCCCCCAAAATGTCTTAATCCTGGTTTGATAGTGCATACACAAATATTAACACGTTTTGGAACAGAATCGTACAGAAAATTCTAAACTCTAGATACACATTATAATCGGGTTCTCTGTACCTGTGTTATTAATAATTATGATACCCATACTTATCTATCGGTTTATTGTGGTGTTTTCTCAAACAGGCGATCATCATCGGTGTGCGGAAAGGCGGCACGCGGGCGCTGTTGGAGATGTTGTTCCTGCACAAGTCCGTGCAAAAGGCCAACGGCGAGGTGCACTTCTTCGACCGGGACGACAACTACGAACGCGGCCTGGACTGGTACAGAAGGCGAATGCCGTACTCGTTCCCCAACCAGATCACCATTGAAAAGAGTCCCAGCTATTTCGTGACACCAGAGGTAAACGAAAACCGTAACGACTAAGCGAAATACCGATCGGTAAGGGTAGCGACTGTACGATGCAGCGACTAGAATATATCCGTTAAATAGCCGACACGGTCATGATGGAGGGTGTGGACGGACGGGCGGAAGTCGTGTGCGGTCATTAAAAAATATCCCAACACGCAAATCGACAACGTTTTCACTCCAAACGCACCCCCTCCCCTCCATCCCCACCACGCCCAAACCCACCAAATCTCGTCAAAACAGTAAAAGTTGTCGAGGATTTTATACGCACTTTTTACTTTTCCGTAGAGCGCCAAACCATCGAGTGTCGAGCCGACGGAAAAAAAGGGCCTTATAGAGGTCGTGTGCGAATACATAATAATAGTATAATATATTATTATTGTTATTGTACTTGCAGGGTGGTACAATAAGTGGCGTGTTCGCGGTGGGTATCGACTTGAGGGGAGGTGAGGGACGTAAAAAAAAGAGGGAGACTGCATCACGCGATCTCGGGGTACACCGCGGGTTGTGCACGAGGATCCGATTATAATATTATATTATATACACCGAGCGACGGGTATAGTTACCCGACTTTTAATTAATTTTTCCGATAAAACCGCTTTTTCCGCCGATACCCATTTTCGGTTTTTTTCCCCCCCCGCGGTCATTCGCCTTGATTGATTCACGGTACAAATGAGCATTTTATTACTGCAAAAAAACAAACGTGTGAGCGAGAGAAAATACTCTGCAGGCGATGTATGTATGCGCACTAAATTACATTTTACCACTATCGGACGCGTTGTCCGGCCCAGTTACTTATCGAATTCGATACCTTTCGCTACTATATTATAAAGTAATGGCCATCGTTTATATATTTACGTAAACGTATCTATTTTTAAAATCACATTATTTCATGGCTGTTTATCGCCGAATTACGTCTCGTTGAAAGGCCGTCTATTATAATATTGGAAAATATGCAAACAAATTCAAGTAAATTCAAAACTAACAACTTGTGAGACGAATAATGAATAAGTATTAAATACGAACGATATTATAGTGACTGCTGTATTTACATTTTTTATATTTTATGGACAAAGGGAAAAAAATAACGACACTAAAATAATCATTCATTAAGTTAAATTGATAAAATAATTATTCCTTGTAATGTTATGTTGAATAAATTCTGATATTATGCAATGCAAAAACGGAATAAAATCAATGCGAAATGTATTATTATTTATTAGCAATGACTATAACAATACTCATAAAATCACACATATAGTGAAAGTTATACAATACATAATAATAGGTACTGTGTACATATTACGCTTCCTTTTTTGTTTGTGTTGCATTGAAATAATAGTTTTTAATTTTTTTTTAAATTATCGACTCTATATACTTTGGTGCACGTCAGCCATTCACAAGCGATATAAATTATGTCATGACGGTTTTATTTTATATTCCACCTATCATTTCTTGATAAATGTACATTGTTATTATATTTTCTTCGTGATAACCCCATGTTATATATTATTATTATTGTTCAATTTCGTTTAAACATAATATATTCAATACCTGCACATGAAACAATATTTGTACATAAATTGAGTTTAACCAAAAACGTTATTCCTATGTAGAATCCTGCAGAGCATGTGAGCAATAATTCGTTGTACAAAAAAAAAAATTATTTATTACCTGTATATATATTATGCTTTGCCTGTAATTCGCTAGAACCCGTTTTTGATGGTAGTACGCGTATTATTCACGTTCATTTTGACGTTTAGAATCTTCACGATAAATCATTACAATCATCACAAAGGACTTAATGTCATGTCTATAAAAATATAATTCGAAGACAATGTTTTTGTCCGACGATGCTCTTGAAACAGTAAAATTCAAAATAAAAGTAAACTTTCGACGAATTTATGAAAGTGATACAACAACATATTTTCATACAACAGTTTTAATACTTCACAATATGCTAACATTTCTTTAGAGTCGTCTGACGGTTATTGGCATTTTTCTTTTATACAGTTAGATGCTTTCGTAAAACTACTTAGATAATATGAGAAATTTGATGCAAATCAAAGCAAAATTCGATAAGACGTCTTATACGAGAAAAGGTGTTACGTGAAACTTTTCTTTATAAATATATATATATTTTTTTTTTTTTTTAAACAGTTTTTTTAAGTCCAATACGTTTCTAGGTTTGCTCAGAAACTAAACCAAGTTTATTATTTATGAATAAACAAGTTGAAATTTCTTGATATATATATTTTTACAACATCCCATGCATGCTTACAATATTATTTTTTCGATTATGTTATGTAAACAAAATCCTAACCCATACGACAATGTAGTGAATTCGAAAACACTTAGGTACATAAAATCCAGATTATATTTTATCGAGTATGTGCACAAAATGGTGTTTTATTTTGTTTAAAAATAATCCCATTGCTCTCGTAGTTGATTAATTCTTTGTTTTAACGGAGAAAAAATGTATACAAACACAATCACACGGTTCCATAATGTTGTGAGTAAATCACGAACACAACGATATTATGAAGTATACGTTTTTTATTTTCACTTTACATAATATTATAATATAGTAGGTATAAACTATATTAAGTGTTATTTTTGTCAATATTTCTAAAATAATTACTACTTACTAGTTTGTGTAATAAATAAAAAAAAACGTACGTGTAATGGAAATATGGTCAAATAAATAACATAATAGTTTACTCATTTATAGTTCGTTTTTGGACACGCCATTTCATAAGCTCCTGCAGTAAAATATATTTTATACACTTGAGTTAAATGTTGAAACCATGAATCAGTGTAGGTATTGAAAATGTAAATGACAAATAAAATATTATATTGAAGTATTGACGAATATATTATTTTTTTTAATATTCGTAGCTTGGTGTAAATTGTAATGTGATTGTTACAACAGTGGGCGTATATAAGTATAGAAATGTTTACATTGGGTAAACGTAACAAAACTACATTATTGTACTGAAAAATTAATAGCAAAGGTTTCGACAGACATTTTAATGGTACCTTCATAAGACAGCCCCACATGTAAAAAATAAAATAAAATTTGAACATAACCAAAAATATTCATAATTTTCATGACAAGCTAATGATTCCACATATGCATATAATCCGAATTAAACATATTAAATATGATATTATTGAGGTCGTTTTATAACGATATGAGTAAATAATTGTGTCGTATTAATTTTTAATTTGAAATGTATGCCGAATTGCCAATTACATTTTTTTATTAATAGTAGGTTGTTACGTATAATAATAAAATTACTTGTGATTAATATGTTATAAAAAAAAGAATATTATATCAGAGCTTCTGGGTTATATTTAACGAGTTTATATTGATTGACATTTTAACTAACTTGTTAACTTATAATTATCAACTATGGATTACTCAATTTTACCAACTCGAATGATTGTCATTAATTTGTTTTACATAATAATATAATAGTTTTTTTAAAAACTCAGAAATGGTCACACTGAAAAGCTTACAAACTGACTCCGGTCCCTTCTACAGGGATCAAAGATTTATTTACTTGGTTACTTGAGTTGAATTTTAAATTATGAAATAGCAATCGGAGCAAAAAGGTTCGTGCAGCATTAAAAGGATTTTGAATTAAAAATAGAAGTAGAACCAACTGTCAAACACGTATAGAGAGTATTAAGTTAGATTTTTTTCGTTGTGCTCAAGATGCATTATATATAAATAATATACAAACATGTCATTATGTTTCCAGTCAAGTATTTACCAATTTTTTTTTTGTTTTGACACGATTACAGTCCTTTAAAATGTCACGTCAGACATATTGTTATCATCAGCGGAGAACTTTACTTTTGTGTGATATACAACAACTGTAGTACATTTTTTCGGCGGTGCAATGAGCACTAGTGCGACGGGTACTAAAATTATAAATTAGATTAATTTAATAGTCTTAAGATATACAACAAGTGTAGTAGTGCGAAGAAATTGTTATCAAGTAAATAAGACAAAAGAGAAAGAGACGTGTTAATTCATTAATTTGTTAAGGGAGTCTTGCGTAGAAATGTCGGCGTGTTATAGTTCTAGAGTGTGTCTGCATTGTGTAAAGGAGATTTTTAATTAGATACTGTGTACCTACTAACACTACAACTACCACTACCACTACCTATGGGAGAAATACACAGAAAACTTAATTAAAAATAGATTTTTTTCAAGTGCGTAGTCGATGGAAGGCGCTGAACAAAAGGTTTTGATTTATCGAAACCACTCTGAGGTCCTTTAATTTGGTCTTTTTTTTTTCGAAATGCCTGGAATTCTTATAAAAAGAAAAACATTTTGGAATTTACATAATGACATTTATTTTAACATAAAATAATTGAATACTCCGTTAGAGGTAGTTATCCGGGAATAAAGACTCCATATTTGTATTTTTAAAGTGTTGACTAGTAATTTAGTTTAAAAAATATAATTTTATAATACAAAAATGAATGGTTCTATTTTTTTTCTCTCCTAACTGATTTTCTTTTCTTTTCGTCAAACTAACTAGTTTTTAGGATTTTCTTGATGATAACATAATATTTTATAATATAATTAATATTATTAACACAATTTGTACTTATTCGATGAAGATCTTCTAAGGTGGATGAATTCTCGAAGCTTACATAATATAATATTATTATTTATATTTAGCATAAACGTCGTACATTTTTAGAACCCAACGATTTGTTTAAACTTCAGTGTAAACATAAACCATTACTACAAAATGTAATGCAGTTGTCATTACTGATATCTTACGATTCGGAACACCGTATGATTAAATCGTGAGTATTTAAATTCAATTACAGACCATGTTTGATTTTTTATATTAAAACCATCAGTAAACAAATTAAGTATATAATTTTGAACCGTTCAAAAATTCGACGGTTGTACTTTTACGGTTTTCGTTCGGAACTCGTGCAGACGATTTTCCAAACGGCAGATACGA